GAGATAACCTCAACAAATACTGGAGCTAATTTTAACAAAGTAGTTTGAGCAAAGGATCTGATAGCGGTAACTGAGCTTCATAATTAAGGATAACAGTAGTTTATAAGGCTTGACAAGAACTGCAGAATCAGCTCCATAATTATATCGTTTTGCCAATGTGAATGATGCTGTAGTTTCTTTGGGCAGGAGTTCTACTCACTGTCTATGCACAGAACAAGTACCAGTCCTCCAGAGTTCTATTTTTAGCCCTTTGCCATTTTTTTCTCTCCTGTGATCTTGGGAAGATGGTTAGAAGACTGACCCAGTTCTCACTGAAGTCAGTAAAATCCTTTTTACTGTTTTCAATAAGAGATGGATCAGGCTTTGAACTTTGTCTCGACATCCCAACTTCTCAGCAGGAGTGCTGATACAGACATTTCATCTTTGGTAAGAGTTGAGTCACAACTCTAAACATAAAGGAGATATCACATCAGAGCAAGCCTAATAAGTCTCCTAAATTTAAGCCTGCAGGCATAATAAGGGATTCACATCAGTCATCTTTAGTCAAGAATATCAGATCTAAGCTAGTCCTCTTTCTCTCTCTGGCTGGAACTTCCTGGCCTCCAGAGATGTCATTTCTTCCAAACCTTTTCCATTGTAAAACCCAGGTGACAAAGCTCTCTGAATCAATACTAGGAACCTTTGCCTGGAACTGCCTTGCACAGCCCCAGAAATTGGTAATACAGACTAGGGCTACCTTATCTCAGCATCTACTTGGGAAGTGGAGAGTTTGTAGTTTGTGTTTAATGTGATCATGTATCTGATCACCTGCCCTGTTCCCCTCTTATGTTTCTCCTGATGTTTACAAAAAACATCTTTCTCTGGCTAATAGGAATGGCTCACTACGCTTTGGAGAACTCTGAGACAGTTACCCTGGAAATCCTTCAAATAAAATAAACAGCTGTAAAAGAGTTTTACAATCTGCAGGGGCAGATTGTTTTGTAAAAAGTTGTCCAGATTCAGGGCATGAACTCTGCCCTGGACTACCACTAGACACAGCTATTTTCAATGTAATCAGCCTAGAAACATGCAGCAATAAATTAGCTACATATGTCATTCCTAGCCATAGATAAAAATTACATGGAATAACTTTCTGTAAAAGCACATGGACCAAAACCAAAATGCTGCATTAAATTGGTTGGTACCTTAAAAATGTGAGGAAGATCACAAAGATAGATAGAAAGATTGATCTCCTTGTGTTTGCAGATTTTGTGATTGAAATAGGTCATTATGCAAAGATTGGTCTACACAGATTATTAAGAGATAGGATTTGGAAGTTGGTTTGTGCATGAAATGGTGCAGAAGTGTGGAATGCCAGTTAGCAGTTCACCAAGAATCTCAAGGGTTTGCACATGACAGTTCTGTCATGGGTTAATACAGTACTAAGAAAAAAATTCAACACAACCCTAAATTTTCAGAAAGCATATAATTTTGTAACTCATGGATTTATTTTTTTTTCCTGGATAACTTGTGCTATTGTTGGTTGTGAGGAACCAATCTCCACAGATAAAGAGGAGAGGTTCTTCATGGGATCTCCCTTCTGTAGGGATTAGTCCTTTTTGGTGTCACCTTCTTCAGGATACTACAGCAAACCTTCATGGGTCTGCAGTTTGCAAAAAGGGTACAGCCATGATTGTCCTTCTAGTAGCAAAAATTTGCTTCTGCAGTTGCATTAGATCTTACCTTCTTCCAAAGTTTTGAATCGTAATGCCAGATTGCAGTTGTGCCAGATCCTGTGTTCCTGCCACATCTCAGGTGGGCTGGGAATCTGAACTAACCTCTTCTGGCTGGGGTTGGTGGGATAAGGAGGCATTTCATGCTTTTCTTCCCAGTAGAACTTAATTCTTTTTTGAATTCTCACCATGCCTGATCCAGGGTTATATCACACCAAAAAAAGTATGAAGTGCTTCAAACAAATAAAATAAGGGTCTGTACCCCAAGGAGCTCACTAACAAGACAGCAAGCTCAGGATGAAAATTCAGGGAGCAGGGAAGCAGTGCAGCATTACAGCACCAACCAGGATGAAGCTCTAAGGTTCAGCAGTGCTTTGGTTCAATACTTGTAGAGAAATAGATGTACATGAAAATATTTGATAGGTGTAACAACATCTGGTATGATTTATGTGCACTTTAAGCAAACAAAGAGAAGTAGAGCAAGCCCTCAGCAAATGAGCAACCTCTGGCTTATTTGGCCTGTGCTGTGCATGCGTGTCAATAGCCGACAAGAGAGGACAGTCCTCTGATGAGCACATCAAGCTCAGGAGTTCAAGGCGAGGGTGGGTAACTCCCAAATGTGGCTGCTCATCTGAAATGTATCTAAATCTCTTAAATCTGCAACAGTGAGCTGGAAATCTCTCAGCACCAGGCCTTCCTTCTAGAATGGCAGGAGTATAACCATTAGTTGTTTTTCCTGTCACAAACTGCACCTGTTTTTAAAATCCAGAGACTTACTTGTGACCTCAGTGGACAAAGACAGAAAAAAGAGGTGAAGAAAAATGTCTCCATACTCAAAATATTCTGTGTTAAAGCCTTTTGTGCATGACACATTTATGCAAACACATCCAAAATTAGGTATGCATTCTTCAGGGAAGCATCCTTGTATGCTGACATTGCCTGTCAAAGCCCAGGAAAAAAACACTGAGTGTGGCTCCTTCCACATCCAATCAGCTTCACTGCAGAAAATCCCCTTTGCTTTTGGAGAACCCTGTGCAATTCAAAGGGGCTGGTACATCTTTTATTGCCTGTGCAGTGAGGCCAGAGCCTCTGTTGAGGCCAGTCTGCATTCTTTCTACTCCAAAGGGGCAGGTCTAGTGTCCAGCCTACACCCTTTTCACCAGTGTATTTACATCTGGTCATTGTATCAGTGATCTCGTCACAGGTAATTCAACGTAGCACAGGTTGGAGTCAGTAAACTGTAATGGCTTTCAGCAGAGATGGACCTAAATATGTTAGGCACAAAATGCAGCAAAGCTGTGTCCATACTGCATTTCAACAAAACTGTTTTGTGTCCCAAATCCACGCTACAAGGAGAGAGGGGAGGCATTTACAAGTACGCTACATAATACATATAAAAGCAAGAACAGTCTTCTGCTCAGGGAGCTGGATTGGTGTGTGAGCTGTTGTAGTGGTAATGTGTGAAAAACCCTGGAGTGGACTAGGCTTTGAAAAATTGTGCTAGCTTTGGCATCTGCTCCAAATACTATTGGAAGAGGATCATTCAGAAAGGATTCTGTTAAGTGAAACTGGACCTTAATTCAGATCACATTAAATGGAACATTTTTTACAAACTCTCAGCTAAAGAGGTTTCCAAAAAATGATTATTAAAACATAAAGTTTTGCTGCTGTTAACAGCCTAACCATTATAGCAGTATCCTGAAAGTGAGGGAATAAAAATTTACTATTGGTAACAAAACTGTCTCAAATATGTTCTTCACAGTCTAAAAGGAGAAATGCAAATACCGGATATTTATAGTCAGCCTTCAGAAACTGGGAAAATGAACAGTGAATGAGATGTTTTCTCTTTTCTTTTTATAACTGGAGATATTTTCCCCCATTAAACACTTGGAGGTCAGTGCTCCATCTCTGTATTGAACATTTTCTCAATAAACAACTGTTGACTGCAGTAGGATGTTATCTAAGTAGGAACAACATAGCTTGATTCGTGTTTTTTATTTGTGACAGTGTTCAGGTAGCGCTCAGAAGCACACGTGTGTCCACAGTGTTCAAAGATATTTTGTGTATATACATCAAGTTAGTGATTTAAACTGAGGAGGATTTTGACAAGGAATTCTACTATTGAAACAGAGGTTAAAAGTCCTAGTGAGAGCAGTCTCAAGCCAATGCCAAGCAGTTCCAAAGATCTAGCCCAGTAATTGAAACACTCTTAAGCTGATATTTTTGTGTCTCATTTTTGTTAAGTGTTGAATACCAAAGAGCTATTGGCCTCATTCTGAGTGAAGAAAGCTTTTATATGACAGCAAGAGCTGGCTCTGTTTAGTTTGCTAAACACAGCTGACTAAGGCAAAGCTCCATGGTTCTGGAGAAGATGACTGCACTCACTTTCCATTTCTCCTCTTATTCATGAGTCTCTCTGGTGTTTTCCAGAGATGTGAAAAAGAGAGAAAGGATGGGCAGGTAGCTTGAAACCTGAGGTAAGCTGGATGGAATTCCCCTCTCTTACTTGACAGTCTGGCATGTCTTGGGTACATTGATTTGCTTCTGGGTTCTTCAGTTCCCTCTCTGTGAAGTAGGAGTCATACACCTCATATCATAAAGGCCATGGTTGTGGAGTAAATCTACTCAGGACAGTGCAGTGTGCAAATTCTTGTGTAATGCAGGGCAGGTACATGACCTGGGCAAACTGGAAATGAACATTACATACTGGCAGCTGCAAGCAAATCACGTGGACTCCATCTAAAAATATGATGCAGAACAGTAGACAAGAGGAAAAAGGCATAGAAGAAGCTTGAAGACATGGTCTATCTCACAAAAGCCAGTGAAAGGCAGATATTTATTGGTGCTGAGACATCTCTGGCTAAGATGATTGCATGCTGTAATGTGAGAGCAGCTGGGAGGCCATTGCAGCGGGCTGGTGGCTGTGCCACGTGAGGCACTGTCACCTTCTGAGCTGGTCAGTCCCACTTGCTTCATTGCATTATCTTTGAGAAATTGCAGGGAACTTGGAAATAAACATGTGGGATGTCCTATTGCTGTGCCTGGCAGGATTGGGTTGGGGTGGTATGTTTCACATAAGGAATTTCTTCATGTGTACTCAGGGATTAGTCTACGTAGCTTTATACATTCTCTTTTCACAGATGGCAATGCCACTAGGAAATACTGCCATTGTTTTAAAACTCTGGTAATCACTTGCTTTCATGCCTTAAGGATAAACAGCCTCTTTCAGGGGTTTACTTAGCACAGTTGTATTTCTCATACCGTGTTTCTTGCTTTGTTTGCTGGTAGAATACGTACACCAATGCAGACAAGCTCCTGGAGGCTGCAGAGCAGTTGGCTCAGACCGGGGAATGTGACCCTGAAGAGATCTATAAAGCAGCCCGGCATCTGGAAGTTCGGATTCAGGACTTTGTCCGGAGGGTGGAACAGAGGAAACTTCTCTTGGACATGTCAGTCTCCTTCCACACCCACACCAAAGAGGTAAGATGTGCATGAGGGAAGTTTGCTGTGTATTGTAGAGTACTGCAAGAGGCTGCCTGAAAACTCAGATCACAGAGAAAAGGCGTTTTCACCACACAGGGTTGATATGATCCAGTTCATTTCATGCATATGAGTAACTGTTGTAAAGAGGAAATGTGAATAAAACATACAAATGTTACAGTACACTAAAATACAGCGACACTATATCAAGTGGTGCTTAATCACAACTAGAATGTATTGTTAGAAAGCAAGAATTCTCTTGTAAGAATGTGAGTTGATATTTACACTTTAAGTATAAACATGTCAGCAGCGTGATCCTCTGAGGATTCCATTTAAATGTACTGTTAATTAATGTATGCAATATCATTATGCGTTACTAGAAATCTTACATTGTTTAATGAGGCAAACTTGATTTTTCAAAACAATTGTTAACGAAAAAACAGCCACATACTGATACAGTGAATCAGTGAGGACATGAATAAATGCTGTTTAGTGTAATTGAAAAAAATCTAGAGATAAGACTGACTTGCCAGAGGAGATACAGTGGACAGGACACCAAATAGGAGGCCACTGGGGATGTAATTAAAGCATACTTCACGTTTTCTGCAGTCCAAAGGCCATTCAGTGGTGAGTGACTTTTAAAGATAGGGTTTCTGCTGAGAGAGATGGAATTAGTCAGGATGGTTGTTTTCATGCTCTGCAGCATCTGTTTGTGAAAGCATGCTTGATCAGGAAGATCTGAGATCTCAGCTGAGAAGCTGAAAGCTTTGCCTGTGCTTGTTGCTTTACATGTTACAAACAAGTTGCACGTATCAGGCTCCAGTGTGTTGGGGAGCCCCTGATGTAGAAGGTACATGCATACATTTATTTATATGTGTATGGAGGATGGAGTTTACAGCATGCTATAGCTGTTGGTAGATGAAGGCTTTTCTTTTACATCGTGCTTCTGTAATATACTAAGATATAGTTTACTTTCAGCTTGTGGATAATGCTGTTGTTCCCAGAGTTGCTCAAACACTTTCAGCTATGCTGGTTTGCCACGGGGGAAACTTAATTGGTTATTTCCTCAGTAAAAATTAATTCTTAACAGTTTCCTGCTGTGATTAACCTTGATTCACCTATGCAGGTGATGACTAGTAAAAAAAAAGTAACTGGTATTGTGTAGCCTAATTTGGCTTTGGGAAATAAAGCCTCCCTGTATGAAGGGATTGGGATTGCAGTGCATTAAACTCATGTTCTTCTTCAACAAGAAGGGAGTTTGCCTGCTCTACACACCTGATTTTAATGAGCTCTGTTTTGGTGAATAAAAATGCAGATGTATAAAAAATTCACATTTTAAAAAAATGATTTTAAAAACCAGTCTCCTGTGATAGCATCAGTGCTGTTCTCTAGATGTAATGTTCTCTAGAGTAAATGCTAAGTCTTTGCCTCATGAATGTTTTCCCATGAGACAGATTGGTTCTGTGATGTCTTCTTAGAAAGTTCAGTAATTAATGCATGTCTTTTTTATGAGACCCAGAGTGGACAGATTCTGGGTGACTCTCTCCTATAGAGGTCCCTTCCAACCCAAACTATTCTATGATTCTGTGGCTCCATCTCCAGAGGGACAGTCAAGGGAGCTGTAGCATTGCTGGGACAACAGCAAGGTCAGGTGGACACAGGAATCCACGTCCATCATAACAAATGACAGCCACTGGGTTGGGTTGATAAAGCTGTTCAGTCTTCAAGAGTCCCCCAAAGCCTGAGGATGCCCAGGCGCTCTGCAAGGGGAAGTTTTCATTTACTTACTCCTGTGTTAAGTCACTCCTGTAGCAGCCAAACACTGTTTTTCTGAAGTAATTTTCACTGTGTGCCACCACCTGGCTCCTCAGTGACATGTTTCTGCGCTGGTGAAACCCACACAACTCAGTATCTTGGGGTTTTCTGCCAAAACTATTAAGTGAGGAAGTTGCTGTGGTTTTAGTGTCTGCCAGCTGTAGGAATCCCCACAGACACAGTGAAACAAAAGACTGCTGGGAGGGATTGGTACAAAGGGGAAAGCATTATAACAGGAGAGCCTTAGCATGTGTTTGTATCTGTGTTTGCCTTTTTATGCTATAAATAGATTGGCTTAGGTAGGAATGAGTCATTGCTTGGCCCTTCTTGTGTATTGTAAAATGGCAAGTTAACCAATGTAATTGACACTCCTCAATATGAACAATAAAACAGGTAAATGTAAGTAATAACAGATCAATTTAAATCACAGCAGATGTCAAGGCAAAGAATCCTTTTGTTGCAGTGGGAGATCTGAAGTCTATTCCTGGTGTTTAACAGGAGCCATTCCAGTCCTGATGCTCATACAGGTCTCCTTTGCCCTCCTATGTGCCATGCTGAGCCTGAGGCTGGACTTGCTATGACCATCCAAACCCGTCACTTGGGAGTGTCTTGCAGTGAGGAGAAAGCAGTTTGGTTGCTATGTTAACCTGCTTAACACCTGACACATTTTGCATTATTCTAGAAGACGTTATCACTTACTTAATAATACCTATCATTATTAATTTCATCCTTTGTAGTTCCTAAAACTATTTATTAAACTATGAACAGCTCTTTCTCTTACAACCCTGGAAATGGAAAAAAGTTCCCTTCATATTTTTTTTGGCCCTGATGCAAGAAACTATGGCCTAGATGCATTTTTCATCTAAGCTCCACAAATCCTCATTATTTCATGTTGTATTAACCTATTGAGACACAACTGGTGAAATGATAAGTAGAAAGAAAAAACTTTTTCTTCTTTTGGAAATATTCTAAATATCTTCCTGCAATGAACATGTTTCTTCTGACAGTGTTCCTAGCACAGGTGAATTGTGTTTCTGATGTGGTAATTCCCAGGTGTGGATGAGTTCATTGACTGTGAGCTTCTCACTGCTTCACCTGTACTCTGCCCACCTCTTCATCTCCACATGCAACTGCACAGATTTCCACCACCTGAGAAACTTTTAACTGCTCCTACTTTTTTTCTCTTGTCAAAGAATTGTTTCCTTTTGTAGTCAGTCTTCCTGTATTTTCTTCAGGACAATAGGTAGTGTTGAATTAGGGAGGCACTTAAATGCAGATATCCCCGTGGGTAATGTCAGTTCAGAGTGGCTTTTTTATACTGCAGTAGACTTGAGTCACTGCTTATTTCATGTGAAGGCATTAAAGAGGATCCCTTCTGCTAAACACTGACTCATAGAGTTGAAGGAATATCAAAAACACAGTCAATCAAGTGTAACAATTATTTTGATGGGTTTTTTAAGTGACCTTATTGAACAATACATACAGTAAGCTGAAATGAGGATTTTTTTGTGTGGTAATAACACTTTAGAGGCATAAATTAGAAGCAGTCCTATACATGATTGTTGGTGGCATAACTCTTGAGTAATGTAGGTGTCCTATTGCCATGCCTATAAACAAGATTTTGTGTGTCCCACTGTCCTGTAGCATTCATTATGCTCCTCTAGTTTGTAGCCAACATTTTTATACCCTTTTGGACCAAGGCATTTCTGATGGTGTGAGCAGAAACTTGGTACCGTGGGAATCAAATCCAATTATCTGGATGGCAGGTTAAAGTTATAAATATTATCACTGGGATAAATGCATTCAGCAGACTCATACCTGAATAATTTCTCTCAGGATTAAGTGTAATTGAATTTAGGTTCTTTCTTCAAATCTGAATCAATTATTGTCAGGATTGTCGGATCTTGCACTTTTATCACAAATCTCATGATAGTTGATGTTTTCCTGTGCACTTTTGGCTTTAGGATCAAATGATGATAGAGGATTCTTGGCTGCCATTTGATTTTGTTTAAAAGAGAATAATTTTTGAGCTTCCTGGGGAAGAGGTTGCAGATGTCATAAAATCACACCCTGAAGGCTCAAAACTCTCAAGAAACATAAGAAAACATCTTGCAATTCATTGTCTGAATCTTAATATTTTAGTGTCTCACAGTTTTATACTTAAGGTTCTGCAGTGTACTTTACATTTCCAGGTATTAAAATGTAGACTGAAAAGAACACTGTGAGCACTTCTATATAATTAAAAACTTTTTAAATCCTCTTGCATAATTAAGTGATGATTTAGGTTGTGTTACTTCTTGTACTGGCTGGTGATGCAGTTGCTAACTTAAAAATGAGAAGTAACTTCACTGAATTTAGATCCATTTATATTATATGGGCCTTAACTAAACTATAAAACAATTCTGCAATTGTTTCATAGTTCTTTGGAGCATGAAAGACATGTCTTGCCACCTCTAGGTTTCTCATTTGTCAATGGGCCTCAGATTACCAGTTCTGTGTTGAATCCAGCATGAAAAAAACCAGAGAGGCAGAGAACTGTGTTTTCAGACCATGTGCCCTGTGCACTGTTGTTCTTTAGTGGGTCAGAAGAGCAGCAGGACAAGGTGCTTGGTGCAGGCAATTCCATGTTGAACCTGCCATGTGTTCTACCTGGCCCACAGAATGGGGGATGAATATGCTCAGAAATATATAATGTTGAGAAAAAGGAACTGCCAGATTCCTAACAGGTTACTATGAACATGTGCAAACTGGAACTTGGCAGAGGTCTACTGAGTGATCAAATTTGGGAAAATTTTCACATGCATGACATAATGTGTATTCTTGACATCAAGGCTAAGCCCTGCAAAATTTCAAACCCTTGCTTAAAAGCATTGAGGATCTGGAGCATCTCATTAAACAGAACTAAAACTAACACAGGCAAAATACCTTTTTTGTCCCTTCCTCTCATTCTGGCCCTTTTAACTCAAAATTCATCAAATTCAGCCTTAGGCAGGCACCTGGTATGGAAAGTTTCACTGTGAAAATCTTGTCTGATAAGGGTGTGAGAAAGTGAGAGCTAAGTCCTGGACCATTAAGTGTCAGACAGTTTCCTATACTATAACTTACATTATTTGTGGTCAGCAGGTCACCTTGGTCACCCCACAGACATCAGTGGAGTTACTCAACTGGGTAATGGAGTGGGTCTG